CCCCTGCAACCCTCAAAGTCACGGCCACAGGTAAGTACCGGCCCTGCGGGGCCTTGCAACCAACAAGTACCCTTACGGGTCACACACACTCAACCGTCAAGCACTCAGACAGGCATGCAAACGGGCAGGCACGCACACACACACAGACTTGGAAAACACAGCAGAATGCGGGAATCACAGCAAGGCATTCATTCCAGTGGCGAATCCCAGAAATCGGCAGTGTTTTCAGTCTGTGTTTTTGGCGGGTCATTACAATATATATATTGTCACATCACTACAAACTAAAAGAGCGCACTTTGCGGAACAAAGAATAAAAGCAAAAAACGGGCACAGTGATAACATGCAAAAATAAAAATAAAAAGAAAAAACAAGGGCAGATTGAAACCATTAAATTTCTCATTCTTCTTTGAACTCCACCTCCACTGTGTATATATATATATATATATTCCGTCTGGGCCGTTAACGCGCTGTGCCTTTCAGTGCTCGACCGCCGGAGGAAGATGGCAGATGGCACCAGTCAATAGCGGTATTTTACTATTTTCACTCTACCCACATCCAAAAGGAGGGCCGTACTGTTTTTTTTTTTTTCTTCTGGTGTGCAGTGTGTTCCTGCTCTGGAGAAAAGTGCCGCGGAAGTCCTTGTGGTTTACATCCAAAAGGGGTGTTTTACTTTCTTTTTTTTTTTTCTTTTTTTTTTTTTTGTAATATAAGTCATAATTTGTTTTATTTAATTGTTTTCTCTCTTTACTACACTAATCATAACATGCTGATCATGTGAAAGTGCATTTAAAAAAAAAAAGAAAAAAAAGGTGCATTTTTTAAGCTCTTGCTGTGATTGCTTTTCTTTTTCTTTCTTTTTTTTCCTGATGAAATTTTACTATGCTGACCGTGTTCCCCGTGTGGAAACTTTTTTGGTGCAGTGTGTGGGCCGCAGACACTCTGTGTGGGCTTGGCTCGCCTCGGTGGAGAGTCCCAGTACATCGTATCTGGTCCTATGGAGGAGCTCCTGACAATTGATTTTGGCCCGCCGCTGCATTCACTGATCCTACCTGGTCACACACATATAATGGAGACTGAGATGCTGCATCATTTCCGTGTCACGCCAGAGACTAAGCGACTTGCGGTGAAGCTATCTGATGATGTCTCAGATGGGTCAGCAGAAGAAGAGTAGTAGTAATTAATTGGGCCTAATAAACCCATTCACGTGCTGCTTGGGGTGCGAGCTGTTCCCATCTGCCGGCTTGAGGATCGGTTCTGATTGGATCCGATTGGATTGGACTGCAATGGTTATTAGATCGGATTGAGTTGGACTGGATTAGATCGGAAGGGATTGAATTGGGTTCTAACTTCCAATGGATGGCGGAGATTTCTTTTATCTTCTGTTCATTGCACTCCTCAACGGCATCGGATGCCTGAGCGTCAAGTGGGGGCGGCAGGGGGCGTGGGGGAAGGAGGAGGGGGGTGAGATTCTTGCGTTCAGAATATACCTCGGGGGTGAATCGCACTGTTACAGCGACGATTTCTTCATCAAACTATCATCAGTCTCTCATCAGTCTGGCTTACTGCAACCAGAGTTAGGCAACGAGAATTATGGCAACCAGCGTTACAGCGACCAGAGTTACCATGATCAGAGTTACAGCAATCAGAGTTACGGCAAGCGGGAGTTACAGCAACCAGAGTCACGGCACCAGGAGTCACAGCAACCAGGAGTTACGGCAACCAGGAGTTACGGCAGCCAGAGCTATCTTCTCCAGAGTTACGGCAGCCAGAGCTATCTTCACCAGAGTTACGGCAACTAGAGTCACGGCACCAGGAGTCACGGCAACCA